ATATAATGTATAAATAAGTGTATACAGGAATAAAGGTAGTGGCGCGTTAGAATATAAATAATCTATGAAAATAGTTTTTTGAAAAATCAACCAGGTAAAAATGCGGTAAACAATGCAAAGATACCAGTTCCGTTCAACATTAAAACATGTCTTCTAAACAGATGCAATTTTTAAATACGTGTATAATATGGTGCGAAAAGTATTCTGAGATATCACAGATTCTCCCCCCCCCCTCACTCCCTCGTTCTTTCTTTCTCCCTCTCGCTTTCCTTCTTTCTTTTCTCTCTCTCTCTCTCTCTCTCTCTCTCTCTCTCTCTTCATCTTTTGATTCTAGCAACAGCGAGACATGGCTTGAATTAGACTTTGTGTTTTGTTTGTTTCCTCATGTTTTTGCAGAGTTTGACCATTGTGAATTGTCTAAAAAGTCGGTTTGGAAAATAACGCTCTGTTGTTATGACTAACTTAAATAAAGCCATAAAATTCTACAAGTCATTCCTTTCAGTCCATAGACCTGATCATTGTAACATTGAAGTAAAAAAAAAAAGTACTTAAAAGTAGAAGTCACAAATATCTGTTCCACAATTTCAAACCATATTCTTGCCTTATTTGAAAATATATTTCTACTCCTCATAGGACATCTTTGAAATGAGTTGTGAACTGGATCAAGATACGTTCTTCATGTGCAAAAACGATGATTTCAAGTTCCTGGCTGACATGATAGAGCATGTGCCCCTCTCCTTGCGAGTGCGATATGTCTTTTGCAGTGCCCCTATCTCTGTGAAGCAGCCATTTGCTTGTGCTATGTTTCTCAAGGTAAGTTTATTATTCCTGTGTTCTGTATGCTGACTTGTAACAAACACCTCGAAACTGAAGTTTATAGGAACCAATGAAAGAGGGTTTGATGGTTTGTTTTCACTTCTGAAATTCTCTTTGCCACATTTTTTTTTTCAAATGTTTGCACTCTGGGGTCTCTAATTTGATGAAGCTGTGTTTAAACTGATGTGCCCAGCAATTGGAGCTTCAGTGTAAAATAAGACCTCATCTCATCTCTTTTAACACTGCAGTTTTATTTACCTTTTTAGAATGGATGTTTGAATTATAAATGTTTTGGTATTGCAAGATAAAACAATGTTGGAGCATATTTGGATAATGAGATGGTGTCTAAACAACTGTCAGGTTGAATTACAGTTATATAGTAAATATAATCTATATAGAATTTCACTTCTGTTTGATTTTTATCTCATAAGTTTGTTTCTTTATATATTTTGTAATGGGTTTTGATTTCTTTTTGTTTGTTTTAGTTGTTAATTTTGTTCGCCAGCAGGAGGTATTTGAAAAGAGGTGCTTCAATGCTAAATATTTTCAAATAATTTTGTTAACGTTGTTGTAGTTTTAGTAGTATTGTCTGGCCCCGTGGAAAATTGCATTTTTTAAATAGAAAAATTGCAAAAAATTGCAAAAAATTGCAAGGTAAATCGCCTAAAATTTGCAAAAAATTGCAACCTTCCCATCCCAGGCGCATTAATACGGGCTTAACATTTTTAGTTTAAAAAACATGACAATTTTGAGTACCGGTAGCATAAAAGCAGCTCAGCCTTTTAAAAAATCATGACAAACAATACAAATTCATCAAATGTTATTAACAACATTTACTAGTAACAACACACGAGTACGTTAACAATGAAGTTATCGACCAAATATAATATGATAACGCGAGACACAAAATAACGGAACCCTCGGTTTTCGTAATAACTTTTAAATGTAGGCATAAAATTTGACCAAATTTAGTACATACCGGGTACTTGGTTCATGCAAAAATCTAGAAGTGTATGAGGTTTAGTCTATAAAAAACAAAAAAAATTGACGAGAGAATTTCGAAACAATCTATAAATACAAAATAAGCTTATGCTTCAATCAAATCAGATCCTGTTCTATTTTTCTCTTGAAACCTTCGATACAGCGGTAATCTTTAGATCTATTTCTGATATTTTCTGTTTTAAAACTGGCATGGTATTGTTTTAACACTAAGTCAAATCGTAAAATACAGCAAATTTTTTTTTCCATTTATAAACAATAGTAATACATGTACTAATGTAGATCTAGATCATTTCTATAGCACCCACTCCCGTGTGAACGCAGCTTAAGGCTTTTTACATTATTTATGGGGTGTTTACGTACTCGGTACGCGGACACCTAGCCTCAGTGTCTACGTACACGGTAACCGGGCAGTTAAGAATTCCAAGTTCAGTTTTTGTCATCCGGTGTTGCCTTCAACTCCAGCCCTCCCCTGACTGTACATTTTTTAAAAAAAATCAATAATTCTCCTATTCCGGAGCCCTATACTTCGTAGCGCACAGACTTTGAATGAACTTTGGTGACCCCAACCGGTACTCACAATGTGATGCGAGAGCACAGGTTCACTGACCGGTAATGATGGCGAGCCCGACAAGATGCGTGGATAACTTTCTTTTCTTTATTTCAACAAGTGACAGCACAGGACAAATATTGGTTAATATTCATTCCGGAGGGTTACCGTGTACGTAGATACTGAGACTAGGTGCCCGGTTACCGTGTATGTAGACACATGCTTCATGTACGAACAATAGGCCTATTCACGCGCGCGCACTCACACGCACACACACTCACGTACACCTCACACACACACACACCTACTTTCTTATCACACGAATTTCCGGTTATAGCTTTCAGAGTACGCTCAGTAGGCTTGAGCTGGGCCGATACCATGATTTACGTAGGCCTATCGGCTCTGTGCTCTCACCATTTCGTATTAAAAATTCTGTTAAAATAAAAGCGTTGATGTATTTTTGCCTAAAATTGCAAGAAATTGCGAAAATAGCAAAAAATTGCGGGTTTATTGCGGAACTCGACGAAAACGCTGCCGCAAGACCGCGATTTCCTGGAGGGCCAGAATTATTGTAGTAACTTCTGAACACAAAATTTGGGATACTACTCTTTGATGTACTCTTAGGTGTGTATTTGGTATTTTCCAAAGCCCTGACTTTTGTTAAAAAGTGGGTTCAGCTTCTCAAAAGGGCACACACTTGTCGTTTCTGTGGCTTTTGCAGTGTTGTTTATTGTTGAAAGAATTCGAATTATTCTTTGGAAATATCAATGTTTCAGTTTGCCCGGAGATTCAGCCGCAATGAGCCTCTCACCCTGGACTGGTTGTGCAGACAGATTGGCTGGCCTTTGAAGCCCCCAGAGAACTTGGTGGAGTTGGTTCATCTAGAGAGTGTCTTTGATGTACTGGATCTCTACCTGTGGCTCAGGTCAGGATGATTTATTGTCACTGAAACCAGTGCAATGTATATATATTTTCTACCAGTTTCTCACAACTAAGTCAAGCATATTATGTTCAGAATATCTGATTTGGGGGGGGGGGGGGGTTGTATGCTTTTATTACTTTCATATATGCTTAACAATTTCTTACTTTATTGAACAAATTTGATTGTAAATTACAAAAGTGTATGTTGAAATTATTGTATTAAATTTAATTAAATATTTGAACAAAGGAGATACATTTTTTGGTAGTTTAATTTTAATGAATAAAGAGCCCTGTTTCCTCACCCAGAAATGTATTCTTATATATGCAAATGTTTTCGAACACATAACTGTATAATGAATGAAGTTTTTGAAAGAGACATTTCTCTGAAGAGAATGTCAGTCACATATGAATATTGTTTAACTGTAACTGAATAGTATGTTTGGTTATTCTGTTTCAGTTATCGTTTTCAAGATCTGTTTCCTGAATCGCACCTGATTCGTGACGTACAAGGGGAGCTGGATCAAATCATTCAAAGTGGAGTCAGAAATATTGTGCAACTGGTCAAAAACCAAGAAAGAGAAAATAGTGGTGACTTGGATAGTGAGCAAGATTTTGCGATCAAGACTCGGGCTCAGCGCAGCAAAATTCCCTCAGGCAGGAGAGCATTAGATGAAGGAATGCAGAAATTGCGCAGAGATGAAAAGGAGGTGCGCAGTGAAAGCAAGGTAAGATCAACTTTTCGTCTGAGCTAACAAGATTTTTTTCCTTCTTTTGAATAAGAATAATAAGATGGAGGGAGGGGAGGAGAAAATATAGAAAGCTGTGAGTCTTCCATATTAATCTCTTGTAAGGAAGGGTTTACAAAAGCGTAACATAATATGTTGTGCTTAATATGTCGTCATTTATTTTTTATGTAATGACGTTGGATTTTTTAAATATTGCACGTATAATTTCTGTTGCTCGAATGATCTCTTTAATTTATAATAGAAATCTTCAGTAATGCAGATCTCACATCTTACGCTCTCAGAAATTTTCCATTATCTAAAACGTGTTTGGTCACCAAAGTTTCCTTGTCTTTTTGTCTTCATTTAAAGGAGTTCCAGGAATGTGTCCACTTTATTTAACACTTTATATTTACACCAGTTCATGGCCGTGATTCCTTTTGGACAATTTTTAATCACTTATTGATTAATGTTACAGTTAATACTGAAGGTAGCTCTCCATTGTGGGACACAAATTTTGATCAACACTAAAACTTAACACCCCAAAAATGTAGATAATGGATTGAAATATTTCTTCTTTCAAACTAAGGGGACAACTGGTCAACGGCCACTATCCTAGTTGTCAGTTATGATGCAGTGTACAGCAGGTTTGTCACCGTGCATTGTGGTATGTCGTAATTTAAAAGTTGTTCTTTTTTAATCCTTTACAGTTGGCTCACAGCAAACTGGCACAAAAACTGGTGGAGAGTGGAGTTGTTACCAAAGATATGTTGGACAAGCTGAAGGAGGAATGGAGTCTGGAACAGAATAAAAAGAAACAGACGTCTGCTGACGTTGATGGGGATGAAGACTGGACTGACAGCAGTGATAACGATGACAACAAAAGATGATGATGATGATATATTTACTCCTGTATGTGACGCATGAAAAAGAATATGCCCGTTTGGTGTCTGTGGCTGCGTTAAAATGGTGTGTGTGTGAGAAAGTGATGGTAAGTCTAACAGTAACAGTCCTGTAGCCTTGATACCAATTGTCACAGTATGCAGAATGCAAATGTTACATTTTGAGCATGTTGTAATTTGTGTCATGATCTTTATATATTTACAAAATTGAGGCTGTAAACTATCCAAGAACTTATTTTGATTTTGTAATGTATTGGAATGATTGAGGTATCTTACAATATGCGAGTTTATAATTTGCCGTTTGACTGGCGCTGTGGGCCACCTTGTAGTGCTTTGATATGAGCTGCTCCGTTTTCTGGTAAGGAGTTTATCCTATCACAATGGGATTTATGACTTGTGAGCATGCTCCAGATTTACAGACTTACTTGGATTACTTGGATCCAGAGCTAGAATCATAGCAGGCAGCGCATGTCCATAGCTGCTCATCTCTCCTTTCCAGCATCCACCCCAGGGTCTTCCTGCTAATTGTCTCCATGAGGAGCTGGTTTGAGACACGCCTGACCACTCCTCGGAGCAAACTTTTTTTCCCTGTGCCCCGCACACACTTTTCTTTTATTGTGCTGAGTGTGTGGGAGTCTGTCTTATCTTGGTCATGAAGGCTCTCCTTGCATCTGGCGATCACCATTGGTCGGTCGAGCATGATTCAGCCATTGGATGTTCCTTTGCCAGCAAGTTCATCAGCACGTTCATTTACAAACCCGGCATCTCATTTTTCATTATTAATAATATTAAGGTTCAAGATAGAGAAAACTTTAAGAATGATGAAAATGGAAGCTCAGTTGTAGCTCTGAATTACAGTTGAACCTGTCTAAGAAGGCCACCAATTGTTGAGGATGAAAGTATCTACCTTAGGCAGACGGACATCTTGGACAGTTTCTTTTTCATGTTAAAAATGTTCAAGGAAGGAAATGGGAAGTGGCTGTTTGTACAGGTGATTGTCTTAGAGGTGGCCATTAGAGCAGGTTTGACTGTATTTCCCTTAGCTGTTGCTTTACTGGCTTAGACAAGACTGACGAAAGTCTGCTGTGTAATGGTTGGACTCTTTATCTTGCATGCAGAGGACGAGTTCGATCCTGCATGGGGAATTAATTTTATTGAGTTTTTCTGTCTTTTTGTTGGGATGCTGTGTCCCACCAAGAGTGTGGTGTTACCTTGACAAGCAAGGTTATAAAAGCCTGCCTGTTTAATGATCTGAATGGTGTTGAATATCATTCGCATTTACCACTATATTTTGATATGAGGGCAAGACCAATGCTAATCTTTGTCTTTTTTGCTCTGATGACATGTCGACGACAGATCCCAGACAAGTTTTAATAATATGCAAGGAATGCAGCCCAATTCTTTCCTTTTCTTTATCTTAAGTTCATTGTAGATTCATTACCATTAATACGAATTCACTCATATTTTTTTAACCTGCTGAAGTTATGTTTAAAAAAAATAAATTATCTTCCTTGATGGCAACAGGGAATATCTTACAATGCAGCGTCATGCTGATTGTATTGAACTCTTGCAGTAGTAAGAAATGAGTGGAAAAGATGGTGCCTTGGAAGTTTATGTTGCCTCGAGTTTCTGTTTAGTACATTCTTATTCTGTTAAGATTGCAAAAATTGCATGTCTTTGACTGTGGTGATGTGTTTTTAGTTTCAAAGGAAAAGAGGTTATCTTGTTGTGTACAAATGAACCATTGCTGAGGGATAGAAACTTCACATGTTTTCATGTATGTTACGAGATAGAGTCCCCTGAGGTCTGAGAAATCAGACGTCCATGGACCAGATACTATAATTTCTGCATTTCAGAATGGGAAATGTGCCGCTACATCATATGTTGTCCCTGGCATAAGACACAAAAAGCTGAAACTGAAACAGAAATTATTTTTCACAGTTCAGTTCATGATAAGATCAGTAGAAGTAGAACAGTTGAAAGCTTCTAGTGTGGATCTGATTGAAAATGTGTTTCAATTTACGATTGCATTTGATGAATATATTTTATGACAAACAGTGAGTGGTGTGTGATGCATTGACAATGAAATTGTTGCTATGAATGTTTCATCTAATTTTTATGAAAAAAAATGTTGGTAATCAATAGAACCATGTGAGGAGAAATAAACAAATCATGCTACTGACGGAAATGTTGCTCCTCAAAATTCTGATATACATGAATTTATAAAATAAAAAAAAAGGACTGTCAACTTTTGAATATCTCTTTTTCTGGTGCTAAAAGGTGGAATGTTTGTCTGAGATTTTAAAGGGTTATGAATGTTTTCATTGTAAAGCTTAAAGTCTCTAGAAGTGAAAATAGTCCTCCTCGTCAAACAAAACATTCAGCAGTAATATGGAGCATATCTTTTTGTGAACTTTTTTTTTGTGCCCTAATCCCTGACACTTAAAAGGTTATGATTTAATTTCAGTCATTATTCTTCCGTCTAAAATTTGAAGAGCAACATTTTCTAGTGAGGTGCATGAGAAAATCTTAATAAAATTGGGACTTGGCTCTTTTTAAAAATTTGTAATGTCTTTGTATATTTCTGTGCTTTGTGTGTAAGTGTAAGAAAAAAAAGTACATTGTACTTGTATAAATGGGTTGGTTTTTGTTTTGTTTTTTAGGAAAAGCACATCCATTGGTGTGGCTGAAAAGAAGAGCACTGATTCATTAGTTGTCCCTACCTTAACCTTGTCTTCCTTGCCTCTATAACTGTGATAAGTTGGAATGGGGGATTCTGATCTCATGTAGGGTTTCCACAGTGGGATTAGCTATGGATCTGATTGAAAATAATTATGTTTCAGTTTATGATTGTATTTGATGAAAAACAGTGAGTTGTCTGTGATGCATTGACAATGAAATTAGCTATGAATGTTTCATCTAATTTTTATGAAAAAAGTTTCGGTAGTCAATAGAAGCATGTGAGAAGAAATAAACAAATCATGCTGCTGCTAGCTCAGACACAACGCTCTGAACTGACAAACTTTTGTATAAAGCAATTTAAGGGTTTGAACCACATAATGGTTTATAATGTATTCATGTTCAAGATCATATGATATTTACTTCGCACAAGAATTTCCAAAATATAGTCGGCTCCTCATGTGTTGAACTCGCTTGAGTTGATCTTCGGTAAAGTTGATCTTTTTCTCAGGTCTCAGCTCCTCTTCTTTACAGATCCCAATGTTAATAAGTTGAACTTGGGATGAGTTGATCCTTTTTTCACTTCTCTGACGACATCAACTCATCTGCAGTTGACTGTATTTGTACAGCACGGGAGGTGTTTGTGTGGATGTGGATTTATGCTTTAAAGTGGAAGGTTGACATTCTAGCCAGATAAAGAGGTAGAAATTATGCACATTGAATACATTATACCTTTTGTGTCTCTCATGCGTTTGGGTTCTCTTGCAGCAGCAGGATAAAAATGAAGCAGCCCTCGTAACACTATAAATATATGTTTTAACTACAGTCATTTGTACTGCATTTCATACATGTGTTTTGGCGAACTCTGGCCCGTCTGCTTTTCCGTACTTTCATTTTCTGTTGCTTGATGTTATATACAAGCATTTTATCTTTTGAAACCTTGATAAACCTTCAACGTTAGCTACAGTCATCTGTAAAGGGAGCAGTGGGTGACGTAATAACGTGGTGGGCTATTTGACGGTTGCTCTGGTAAGGTTTGCTCCTTCTTTCCAATGACACATCTGTCGTATACTCTCCTCCTTTTTTGTGTTTATTACTCTTTTGTAACACCTCTAATCTTCGGTAGGCCTACTTATGTAACCTAATTGTGTTGCAAGTGCTGCAAATGGCTAACTGAGACCAAAGTAAAAAAGTGTGTGCGGGCTTGCATACGTGCGTGCGAGGGGGCACGTGTGCGAGAGAGATGAGAGAGAGAGAGAGAGAGAGAGAGAGAGAGAGAGAGAGAGAGAGAGAGAGAGAGAGAGACAAAAGGGGACGGGGAAGGGGTGCGTTGAAAACGACGTTTGACGGCAGGAGATACGCTTGAGACAAGCAAGCAGAACAGAGAAAGAGGTCATGAGTTAAGGCAGTGATTTCTTAGTCTAGTTTTGGAAAAAGATGAAGAATTAATGGATGTTCTATTACTTGGCCTAAATAAGTAATCTGTCAAAGATGTCGTTTCGGGAAGAAAAAAGTGACGACGATAATTATCACTACTTTGGGACTTGCTGTTTCGGCTATCCTTTATTTTCTTCTTTTTTAAAAGCTGCTACTACTATTTTTTTAAATGACGATTTCCAACACACACACACACACACACACACACACACACACACCATTAATTATCCCTTTACCCACCCCTCCTCTACCTGTATTTTCTTCCTCAATTATTTTTGTCTATCAATCTAACTTTCCCCAAACACTTCATGCCTCTGATACTATCACTATCACTGATAGTGTCTAAATATTTCTCTTCACTTGTACAAAAATTAACCCGTTTTGCGCAAATGAAGACAGGTGGTTGGAGGGCGCCACTGGTATGCCTTACTTCCTTACTGTCCCTCTGTTGATTCTGTTTGTCTGTCTTACATTTTCTCAGAATTAAGTGACCTTTTGTGTTGATGTACTTCTCTTTATTTTTACTCAAACAAGCAAATAGCGCAAATGAGTGGCAGAGCGCGGAATGATGTACTGTCATGTCGATACCTTCATTTTTTCCAATTAGTCATATCAGACCAACAGGCTTGAAGAACCAGTGGTGTGCTTTCTTACTCTGACACTAAGCCTAGGCTCATTCTAAGCACATAACACAATCTGTTTCACCCATTGCTAACAGCTGATCAGAACGTAGGCCTAGGCCAACACGACAAACGATTGACAATTCAGCGTGTTGGAAGAAATCGCTGCCTGCCCTGTGCTCGCTGCCAGTGACAGACAAATTGGCAAATGGGCTCCTGACATAACAACCATGTAAATGGCGGATTGTTTATGTCTCTCGCTGAACTCTGGCTCTCTTGACAGATAGCTTCGTCGACAGAATGTTTCTGACACCTGTGCCATAACGGTTTTATTTTATTCCCAGTTGTCAAATTGTTCGTATCATAGCAAAATGACGTTCACCCCAAGGGATGTGAAGGATGTCTCTGCTCTTGTTGCTAAGAAGTTGTAAGTAGAAATCTAGATTTCTCCATCGCCACTCTGAGACTCTCTCGTTGTGTTTTTCTCCTTGATCAGCAGGTTAATTTTACAACTACACGTCTAGTATTCTTTATTGTTTTGAATTTATACAATAGATTCTAGTTTGATTATCGAACCGACCAGAACTTAAACGACCGTTGCATGCTATATTGATTGTCTACGTTTATGCTGTCAATTGAAAATGTTCTGAAAAATTAAGTAAATTTAAACTAAATTAAACGGCTCCTTTTTATACTTTTAAATCGCTGCGTCGCTAGACGCGGCACTGGTCGCACCCAGGTGCAGGGATTACGACGTAATGCTTACGGACCCGAATTGAATGTCTTTATATTGTATTAGAAATCTTAATCCTTGTGCATTAGCATTAGCGTGGCTAAGCCAGTTCGGTGAGCTTTAACCATTATTTTGCTAAGAAGATTAAGAGTGTTCCACGACTGAACCTACCGCCTTAGTTATTTTTCTGTTTAGTAGTAGACGAATAATTTGTAACATTGTGACCCAGTACTAAGCTGTGTTTTATCCGTGGATGATTTGGATAATAGCTCTTCGGAACTGGATTACTTGTGTGGGTTAAAACAAAATTGTTTTCAAATTGAAACCTGATCAAGAGCCCAGGTTATTTTGTGATTTTGTGAAGAAAATTGAGGTAGGCCTATCCTATGATATGACATTATAACCTAAATGTTTTCTTTAAAAAAAATCAGGAATACAAGATATGTTATGTTCCTCCTCGATCTGTGCCTTTATAGAAGTATAAGATATTATATGTAGGATAATACTTTTCATATTCATTGATGGAACTATTGTGGGGTTTAGTTCCTAACATCAATCCTAGTGTCAATCTTGCTTTTTAACCGACAGAGAGTTGTATATGAATGTTGAGAGAAGGGAAGAAAGATTCGACCCTCAAGGATGTTACAGAACAACACCAAATATGGTAAGAATCACTTTCTGTTATATATGTGGCCTCTTGCGGTTGCTGGAAATCAGATAATTATATGATTAGTTAGTTGTCAAGTCTACAATCAATGTGAAGTTTGAATTCGCTTTTCAAAGTGGTTCTTAAAATGAAGAGCCAAATTCATCTAAGAAAAAAATAAATGCTTTTCTCAAAACAATGCTTCTTGTCAAAAGTAACACATTTCCACATACTATAACTTAAAGAAACATTAAGAGGTCAAATCCAACCGCATTCAGAGCGGAGTTCTGGACTGATAAATTACCAAATTTAGTGCGATGAAAACAAGGGTCATTATAATTGTCATTACATGAAGTGTTACAATTTGGTTTCTTTCACTTAAGTCCTCCTCCATTTCTCATCTTTCATTTGTTTGTTTTCTTTATTGTGCCTGTTGACAAAGCAATATTCCAATTTTTGTTTGAGTTATGATATTTATACTGAGTCCGGTTACATCGTTTTGTTGATGCAAGACCGCAAGAACTAATTCACTCGTTTTTCCCAAAACCCACGCTTTGACAAAGTGAAACTAGATGTTTCAGGTACGAAGGCTGACTTGTTTGACAGGGTAATCAAAGTGAAACAAAACCAGATATAATGGCCTGGAGATATCACACAAGAATCTTACTCGAGGCGGCGACTCTTAAGTTGTGTGAATGAAAACAAATCCGGAATTCAACCGCCAAAATAATCGGGAAAGTATCTCATTAAATATCAATTCCAAACTAAAATTAAATTTAACTTTAAAAGTGAATACACAAACCCAAAGCAAGGAAGCAGAGATGTCAGTACTAGATCTATATGTTATAGAGATACCAGGGAGTCTAACGCTTTGGTAGAACATGACAATTATCATTTTTAAAAATTTCACTTTTGGCTGTGTTTTGTCTAGCTTTTCGCGGCCAGGAGCCGTTGTCATAATCGAGGTCACGATCTGATTATAGGACGTTAAAAAGTCGAGGAAAAAAAACAAGCATTCGCAGCAGTAAAGAGATTATTAGGAGTTAGTTCCCCTCACATCTGTAAGGTAGACTCGACCAGTGTACAAGTTCACGTACATAATCAGGGCTTACGACTGATTATAACTGTGGCCCGAAAGGGGTGAACAGGGTATATGTGGCAATGAAACAGTATTGACTGCTATGCATGTATTCCCTTCAACTCTATTGGTAGACTCTTCCAGCCCCACTTTAAGCTTATTCAAATCAAAGCTTGTGACTGCTTATGGAGTGGCCCGAGAGGGGTGAGCAGGCTATTTCTGTGGCAATGAAACCGTTTTGAATGTTAGGCATACTGTTCATTGTTGATATTGAACGTCTTTTTACCTTTAATTTATAAGGTTTACGTTTATGGGTGAATTTGACTGCTACAACGTTTCAAAATTAGGTAGGGAAGCAGTGATTATTTGATTATATAGACGCTTCGCCACTGAGATGTTTTCGTTTCCTGAATCCTTTCTGAGTTTTTCAATAGCGGTAAAAAGTAATTATAAATGACGGATCGTGTTAAAACTAAACAAAACTGAGGTACCCTATCATGGCCAATATATCGGCGATACATCTGCAAGGGGTGTGGACTCGTGCCAATATATCGGTGATAGGTCCGGAAAGAGTTAAAATGGAGTAAGCACTGTGGATCTGGCATCTGGTATCGTTCATTGATTTGTTCCGAAGCTTTTAAACATCAAATTTGACACAGCATCACTTCTTTGCTAAAATGTTTGTCTCTGAAATAAAAAACACTCAAAGCACTATTTTGCTCCCTTCGATGATGATGGTGATGATGTTCTTGATGTCCTTTTCGGTGATTTCTTATTTATGAAGATGTGGTTTTAAAGTGAATTTTGTTTTGTTATTGCTTTGCTTTTAATGATATAAAATGTAATGTATTTTGTTATTCCTTTTATTATTTCAGCGAACTTTTGATTTGATGTATCATATGCTGGAGAAAGGAGAACTTGATAAAAAGAGTCACAAAGTCTCGAAGTCTAAGGGAAAGCATCACCGGAAAGGATCAAAGTCCCCTGAAAGGAAAGAAAAAGCTTCAAAATCTGACAAAAAGTCAAAAGGGAAATATTCAGATCATGAAAGTGATGAAGGCATTGATGAGAGAAATGGATGTCATGTAAACAGGTATGAGTCTCTTTTGCTGACAGAGCAGGTAAACCCTTAGTGTGCTCTTTGTTGAATTAGTTTGACATACAGTTCTAGAGCTAATTCTTTCAAGAGAAAAAAACATCTGGTTTCTGTAAAGCATAAAAGTATGCCATGCTGACATCTTTTTTAAAAATATTGTTTTTAGAAAATGTTGTTTGAGGATCAATGTCAAACAGTAATAGGAACATACAAGATGATATTGTGTCCCCGTCTTCTGAAAGCAATGGTGACTTGACCTCAGTACTTCAGTAATTGTGTTTGCATTCTGTTTCCTGGATCAATATGTGAATGTAGTCTAGATTATAACATCTCAAATTTGGTCATAGTCCCTTTTGTGGTTTCTCTTCTACAGTGATGTAGAACCTAAGAAAAGAGAAAAGAAAAGCAAGAAAGAAACTGTTAAACCAAAGCTGGTTGAGAATTCCAGACGTGTAGTGCCATTCCAAGAGGCGGAGAGGTTGAAAGAAACAGCAAACAAAGTTTTGGTCAGTATGTTATAGGCTCACAAACCTGCCAAGTACTCTGATAAAATCGAGGCCGTTCGATTTTTTTTTTTTACCCTTCGAAGAGTCGGTCGGATTTGCATATAATCTGAGTTTTTTTTTCTTAGATTCCATTTCCATCGGTTGTACATAACTTATCTCAAATGGCGTGAAAATGTAGGGGTATATTTGTAATATTTGTGCAACTTATACTTATCATAATGACATGAAAAATTCAAAGGTTATTTGCAACACTTGCACGGCTTATCGTAATGATATGATGTCAAAATGCAAAATTTTATTTGCATATGTTTGCAATACACGTTTATTTGCCATGATTAATTTACTGGTATTATAAAGACTCTGATTTTTTTGCCCACGAACTCTAATTTTTAAAGAAGATTTTGAGGAAAACTCCTATTTTTGGTCATGGAGTGGTTGGCAGGTCTGGGCTTACAATTATTTGTGTGTTTGATTTCTGTTCTCATGCATGTGACCAAGTCAAGTGTGCTTTTGTGTATATATTTATGTGTCATGACGTGGTAGAATCAGACGCTCGTCAATGATCAATTTTTGGGCATATGGAGTTATTGGTATCTTCTTAAAGCTTGTTCAATTATCTTGCTTCTGATAGGAAAAGTACCCATCCGTGTTACTTGCGTTTGAAGGAGGTGGGGGTCCCCTTGTGTTGAGACAAAATTAGTGAGAAAGTGGTGGCCTAAGTTTGGTGATTTTCAAAGCATAAGTGTCTTTGAAAACTGCCAATTTACATTTATCTGTTTCTTTTATCAAGGTTTTTCTTTAACCCTATCCGTTCGTTGTGTTTTACAATCGTATCATTACGACATGGGAAACTCTGTCCCACCACTTTCCAAAGAGGAAATTTACTCGTTAATCCTATCTGTACGCTTTGCATAGCAGTCTGTCAAAATGATTTTTTGAGAAATACTGAAAGTTTCAAAGAGATTTTCGTACTAGAAGTATTCTAAAATGTGAAGAATACGACCCCGGGGATACAAAATGACCCCAGGGCGTACAGATAGGGTTAAAATCCACACAAGAATGTGTTTTATGTGAAAATAAAAAGTGTTGAGCCAAAAAATTGTCCAGGAAAGAAAAACGCAGGTTTCTTTGATTTCATTATTTTTGACAAGCTCCTGATTTTACCACAATGCCTGGCATATATTTATGTGTGTATGGTGCGGTTCTTGATCCTTCAAGACTAATGTGTATCTATGCTGTGCAGAGATATTGTGAATATGTATGTATGACTATAAGTGAGCTATTGTTCATGTATAACTAAATGCGTTTTTATGTGTTTGTATATGTGTGAATGTGATACAGTCTTAATTCATGGGAGGTTGACTGATTCTCTCATGCGGTTTGCTTATGCTTTCCTATCAAATATCTATTGTCTTTATCTTCTCCTTTTCCTTTTTTGTGCTTGTTATTCTCTTTAAGAAATTCGATACAAAAAAGTCTTTTGTTAAAAATAATAATATAAAGTTGACGAAAATTTATATCTATTACAGTTACTGTTATCTGGTCATGTTCTGTTATCTGCTTTCATCTCCACTTCTGCTTCCCCCTTCCTCTTGGCTCCCGACTCTTTTTGCTGCTACTTCTGGCTCCTTCTCACTGTTGTCTTTCAGCTACACTATTTAAGGTTGGTGAGATTTAACACTTAACCTTCTCAGATAAGGGAGAAACAATCTTGGAGGTCTTATGTGCAAGTTGTGTATGTTAAAAACTCTTTTGATGGTCTTAAAATAAATAAGAGTTGGCTTCGGCTGCCACTCCCGCAAAATTAAATTCAAAATTAATTCTTACCCAAACTGAAAATGCCCTTAGTAGGTATAAAAGCATATAGAGTCCTTTCAAAATCGGAATTGTGGCTGCCTGACCTGAAGGCAAGGGGCTTTACTGAGTATGAAAAACAATCACATACACACATAAAATCAGTTGCACTGCAGATTGAAGAGCCAGTGACCGACTACATCTGATATGGAGCCAAGAAAAGAATGGAATTTTAAGACACACCCTTACATCTTTGACTCCAAATGTACGACAGTGTCTCTCCTTTGGAGCATATCAAGGAAGTCAAGATCAGAAGGGAGGGAATTGGTACTCTATGTCTATCGCCCATGCAAAGCTGTTTCGTGAAAATTGCTTTAAGATCACCTGTCAAGATGCAAAATGCCATCACTGTTAGACTAACTATATGACACCCGTTTAAAAAATAAACCACTCTTTAGGAATAACTTTTGTTCAACCGAAAGACTTTGAAATGATAAAACTACACTAATCTCCATTTGTACGAAATGCAGTGCCATATCTAAAACCACGTCTCACTCTGACGAAGAGCCTTTTTCTGCTTTGCTTGCAAGGACTCAAAATTAGCGCATTTACCCCACAGTCTTTCCTTTCTAACAACATTTGGTCAGTAAAGTACGTGTGACAATGTCTTTTAAGGCCTGACTTTGGACTGTTGCAAAGAATACAATATACAGAATGAGATTGATAAATATGAAATATTTTTATTTTGAACATCCATATTTCAAACTTGGCTCCTAGTGTATGTGGGAGGATTTATACTTTAAATCAGCTGAACTTAGCATTGGTGAATTAACAAAGATGAAAACAAATATTCCTCTTTAATGATGGGATGTGAACCCTTTTTCTGTGCTATAATGACAAATAAAAACATATTAAGTGTCAATGTTTGGAATGCACTTGTGCATTCTGTCTAAACCTGTAATAAAAAATTTGTTTTTTTTTCTGATGGAAGGTCTAAAGTGCTTCATTTATTCTATCCTGTCTCCTTTACTCTTCTTTATAAAATTCTTTACAGGGGGAGCAAGATCTCGATAAACTTTGTGTGATCCATCGTTATCGGCCACATAGCGTTGATATTGCACCCATAACTGAAAACGGAAAAGTGTCCAACTACGTCATGCATGTTGGATCTGCTCTTCATTCAAAAAATTATGTTGAGTACTACATGAAAGAGGGTGAGTAGTTCAAAGTCCTTATATAAAAGAGAGTAAATTGTTGAGACAGGTTATAGTTTGAAGATATTGCTAACTGCTTTTTTGTTTTGCTCCATTTGAAGACGGTGACACAAAATGAACTTTTTTTTTTGCCAGACTTTATACACTGTAGTTCAGTACAGCTTGACAAAGGGAAGCATTTGGACTTAGTGGAAACAAGATGCTTTTGAGAATCAGCTAACAATTATTTTCTCTTTTGTTGTTGTTATTTGATCTTACTGCTATCTTGTGCAAACTCAATTTTTCCATTAATATCAAATCTCAAGTAAGAGTTTTTCTTCAGGTTTTAATGTAGTAAGAAAACATTTTTCTTTTCATCACAGAAAATGCCTCTCTATCCTTTCTGCTTTGTGTTTAATAGAAAATACTTTGTAAGTAGCCTTCTTTTTCTTGTTAATCAATACTGTATGTAGTTTGTTCAACCGAATGTGAGAATGCCTTCCAGGCTGATTTTCATTTTTTTTCTTAATCTCTTAAGTAAAAAAGTTGACTTTTAGTTGAAATATATATGGTTTTCTCTATATTAACAGGATTACAGTCTGGAAACAAAGAGCATGCCAAGAGACTGCAGCGTTTGGGTGGCAAAGATGGTGGGGTAGGTTACTTAAGGCTAGACAAATATTCTGTAATGGCATTGTTTCTTAATTTAATGTTAAGACTAATGATCATAAGGATAGGGCTTAACTTCTACGAATGTCTTTGAATGATGTTTTGATCTTATTTTACATCAGTATATTATTTAAGGTTTAGACTTAAAAAGGCTACGTAGTCAGTGGTCAAACTCGGTACTTTGTGGATGGTTGGCCGGTGCTCTGGTGTTGTTTGCTTCTTCTTTTCTATCAAACATATGTGAGGCAGCGTGGTGGAATCAGGCTCTCGTCAAAATAATCAAAGTGAAAAAACTGGCATTTTTTCGCAGGTTTTTAAATTTTTATCAAATTTTTGTTTTTCGGCTCAAAACCTTTCAGACCCTTTAAAGAACTCATTTCTTCGTGGATTTTTCTTAAAAACGTTGATTAAAGGCACAAAAGATGTAAATTTTCTGTTACCACGTACTCTTAAGCTAAAGAAATAACTAATCTTTGGTTGCCATTTTTTCGCTAATTTTAACTCTGAAAACAGGTGACCCCCACCTCCTTCATACTTCATTTGCAAATATCTCGACTTTTTTTCAAGATAAATGGATATTTTTTTCATTCAGATAAAGAAAAATGAACAAGCTTAAAGTTGATATAAATAACTCTACATGCCCCAAAATTGACGAGAGCCTGATTCCACCACACTGCCTCACATATATCGTCCTCATCTCCTCTCCTTCATTTTTGTGTTTGTTACTCTCTTGCAACACCTCTAATCTTCGGGACTTATATGACCTTATTGTGTTACAAGTGCTGTAAAACACTTACTAAAACAAACTCGGTACTTTTGTGCTTGAGCTGCATTCGGTTGAATATCAACACTTTCCATTAAGTAATCGGGATAAATCTTTTCTTCAGCCTTTGAAACAGGATCACAATATTGGGCTTGCAATGATATCAGTTGTTATGACACAAAACAAAACTGCACTTGTAACAAAGTAAAGTGCCTTACCCAAGGGCTCTGTCTTGGAAATGTCCTATTTTTGCCTGGTCAGACACTGTCCTCTTAACACATTTCACGCTGTGCCTAGAGATTCCCTGTGCGCACCTTTCATTTCTGACCAGAGCGCAGGAGGGTTAATCCCCTGTTAGGAGTGATATCTCTGACACACCTATTTTTGTTGGAAAACCCGAAAATTTACTAGGTCGGGTGACACTGTTTTTGGTAAATTTGCTTTGTATGAAATGATTTTGAGAACAATTTATTTTATACCATAAGCAAAGCATGACCACTTCTTAGTGTAAGACTCAGCATACACCCTCAGTGTACACCCTCAGCGTACATGCTCAGCATACACCCTCAGCGTACACCAGATTGAAAAGGGAAGTATAATGAAGTCTTACGCTGAACAGTCTACATGTAAACAGTCTGAAATGTCAGAGATTCAAAGTTCACTGAAAGGGTTTTCCCTATTTTTGTTTATCTAGGACAGAGATACATATGAAGAGCATGGGGATCAGCATCCTTCAGGAGGTAACTCATGTTCAAGACAGTAAGTTTAAGTTTTCTTCTTTATGTTTCGTTTTAGTTGAACGACATAAGCATTTCCAGTGTAGCTCTAGAAAGGTCAGAGGCCGGAGGGTCCTGCTCGTTCCATGCAGCTCTAAATGTTTATGAGCTTCACCTTGTGAACTTATTTTCCAAATGCAGTTGAACCGGCTCTATTGATCACCTGCCCAAGACAATAACCTGTACAAATGACCATTTCCCACTTCCCTCTTTTCACTTTATCTATATTATAATGACATTGGCCTCTAGGACCTTCTGTCTATATTGACCACTTATCTCCTTGAGGATATGTGTTAGGATATGCATTCCATGGAATGTTTTTTTAAATAGTTTATTTAGGGAGAAATAAATTTGCACAAAGCAACAGGTATTTGTACTATCTCTTTGCATTTATTTGGAACATGGTTCCGGGTTACATACTCCACAACTTGGAAGCTTATAGCAGAAGAAAAGTGTAATTTCTAAGTATCTAGCTGTCGTACCGTACTTGTGGTAGTCATGTGAAAATCTATTTTATCTTCTTTACCTATTTGCTTGTATTCCCCATTTACAGAAAAACATAATGAAATTGGTAAGACTGTTGACATTATATTATTTTCCTTCTCCTTATGATGCATAAATGTATCTGGAGCTTTTTTCATACTTCTTAATTAATCTGTTTGCATTTTTCACATCTTTAGTTCAGCATTTTGTTTCAGTACGAACTGACCTGCATACTCTTTTTGTGATGATCGTGTCTACTTTAGAAATAAAATCAGTACATATATTTTGAGTTCTTGTGACTGTAGACTCTTTTTTTTCAAGTTTCTGTCCTAGTTCAAGCGCGGGATGGATGCAACATTTAATAACGTTAGATCTTTAATGTATTTATCTGTTGTAAAATATGTAATATGTGTCACAACATGATGGAATCAGGCGCTTGTCAATTTTTGGGCAAATGGAGTTTTTGGTATAATCTTATTAAAAGCCTGTTCACTTTCTTTTCTTTTGTTTAAAAAAAATCCTTCTCTTTCTCCTGCTTTTTTCTTTGCGTTCCCCTGCTAGATCTCAGGGGTAGTTGACTACTGGTTCTTCAATCTGCAGTGCAACTGATTTTTACATATGTGAGCGTTTTTCTTACTTCATAGGGCCTCTTGCCATCAGGCAGCCTCATTCCGATTTCAAAAGTACTCTATATGTTTTTATACTGACTAGAGTATTTTCAATTGGGATAGGAATTTTGAATATTTCCTGGGTGGCAGTTGAAGCCTAATCCTATCGATTTTAGGACCATCAAGGGATCTTTAACGTGCGCAACTTGCACATAGGACTTCCGAGATTTGTTGCCTTTATCCATGAAGGCTAAGTGTTAGATCATACCTACCTTGACATCACATGTGTGGCTGAAAGACAGCAGTAAGAAGGAACCTGGAGTATAGTAAAATGAGTCAAGTGTATAGAAGAGAGGAGCCCTGAGGAGGCTGAAGAATTGGGGTGGGGGGGATGCAAGTGGAAAAAGTGGAGATGAAATCAGATGACAGAACAGGACTGGAGAACTGGAAAAGAGAAGAATGGAGGCAAATTTAGAGAAGGAAATTTTTCAGTCTCTGTCAGGTTTCGAACCCCGGACCTATTGAATGAGAGGCGAACACTCTACCTAAAAAAATCCTTTTGTCTTGAATAGAAGTTAATAGATATTTGTGATTGAAGGCGATGGGTCTCCTAGTGTCAGAGAAAATAGCCTCCCGAGTTTGGTGACTTCCACAGTTTGAGTGTCCTATGAAACTGACAATTTACCTTTTTTGTGCTATTGATCAACGTTTTTGAGTAAAATTCATACAGAATTTGTGTTTTTAAATGGATAGAAAAGGTTTTGAGCCCAAGAGAAAAATGAGATAAATATTGCCCAGTGGGTGGAAAAATGCCGGTTCCTTTTTTTTCAATGTCAATATTTTGATGAGCACCTGATTTCACCAAGATGCCACATACAGTGGGTGTCGCATTCAATAAGGTTGCCAGGACCGGCTTTTTGTCCGCGTTGGATCCGACCTCTCGTTGAACGTGACTAAGGCTAAAGTAAAGAAAGGAGACAAGTTATTATATATATATTACACGATGTACCAATACCAATAATTAAAACAGTTGTTCCCCCTGATAACGAAAATCTCAAACAGCATCAGTGTGCGCGTGTTTTGACCTGTGTTCTGACCATCATTTCTGCATTTTAAAATATTTTTTTTTCAGAACACTTCTCGTGTGGAAACATACCCTCTCACATCTAGGCCTAGATATCTACATAAAGTAAAGGAGGGAGCTTGGATTTTCTGATCAAAGGAAGAACAGAAAATGGAAAAAAATCAAGGTCTCCATCTAGACCTACCCTTCCAGAGTTCATCCAGTTTCACACTGCCCGCTCACCCCCTCTCTTCCCTACCGTAGGCCAACCCTCGTCCATCCTCTTGGCTTTGGGGCCCATATTAGGAGGCACACTAGATCTAGCAATACAATGTGTTAGAAATCAAGGATGGGCCTTGTGCTTCGCGTGAGATGGAGAGAAAGGAGAAAAATTCTTTGCTTTTGGGGCCACTAATTGCTTTTATTTGGTTATCGCGACCTCGTTGAAAGCGACTTCGGTCTGTTTGGAACCTCGTTGGAGCTGACGTACATTTACAAAGAGATATAGAGAAAAAAAATAGAGGATTAAGAATTGCCTCGTTGTTGCCGACTTCTCGTTGAATGCGACACCCACTGTATATTTCTTAACTTTACACTTATTGCTCTCAAAACTTGCTTCATTGTACTTGTAACCTTGTTTTTACAGTGTTATCAAGAACTTTTTGTAGCCTCTTAGTTTTTACAAATCAATTTTTTAAGTTGGTGATGGTGAACTTTTTTTTCCTCTTTTAAGTAGGAAAAGAACCCTCATTGTGTGTTCTTTTTGCAAAGGCTTGCTTTTCTTAAGTAGCACCTTTTTGCTCATTCTCATATGCATTCAAGATTTCATGTACGTAAAATCAGCAAACAGCAGTTGCTTAGAGGAAGTTTTTTCATTAATTTCTTTCTTGTTGCCTTACCTGGCTGAAAGGGATAAGTTACGCAGTAAACCTTTCAGGACTTTAATTTTTACTTTGGGGGTGGGGGATGAATAGTCGGCAGCCTTTTACTAACAGAGGTGCTACTCCCTTTGCTGGTGGGGATCTACTCTTACGTTACCTCGCCGGTGACATCTTTTTCTCATTGTCTGTCCAACTCTTTTTGGTACCGATAGTGCTAATACTATTTATCTGTGTCAAGCAGGGCATTGAAGATAGTTTGATTATGATGAAACTCAAAGTCAAAACACTAATTCATCTATTCTTTTCTGAAAATATGCTTTTTGTTAGTTGTTAGTAAACATTGTGAATTGGCTGGGCTGTATGATATGGACATCAATATTTTTTGTGATGTACCCATCTGTTTGTCAAATTATTGTCTTCTTTTCAGTGTTGGCACTTCTTTTGCTATTCATCCTTCCATTTCTTCAGAAAATAGGTTGTTGTTTTTTTATTAATTAAAAACTGATTTTAGTGAATATGATTTCGAAAGGTATACCTGTTCATGTCTGCCAACATGAGGCACACTTGGAACATTATATCAATGCTCTTTTATTAGAGTGAATAGCTTAAGAACACTTTCGTTTCAAATTTATTATGTCTGTCTTTTGGGTTGTGAGCCATGTTTGAATAGTTGAATGTAATTGATAAACTCTTAATGTGTTTGATGTTTATATCGAGGGTATTCTCTTAAATGCTCTGTAATGTTCACAAATTGTGAGTTGTCAAGTTTTTTTTAGTTTATAGAAATCCTTTATACTATCGTTGTCATACCAAACCACTGACCTCCATATATATTATGTATGGAGAGAGGTCAAGACTTCGACAGTTTTTATGTGCTTCCAACCCTCCCCCCTGTTTTGTATCCTATCTCATAATGTGGCATGTCGAGGGTAGGTTTGGTGACAACTCTGTTGTATTGTCAATTCAATGTGTATGTAGCTCCTGTTACTGTATTTCTTTTTACATCCTTTTTCCATAATATGTAGGTAACAATGGCGCAGGCATTAACTCTAATGTACTTTCTGCTTTTCTTTTGCAATCAGTAGTTTTATTTTTAAATTTGTGACGCATACATTTGATTTTCTTTAATAAAAAATTATTTTTAAAAATATATATATTAGCCCTTCTCAGCTTTGCTTTTGCTCATATTATCTTTCTCATAACAGAAAAAAATGTCACACCTTAATTTTCCTTAGCTGGGACTACTGTAATTTTCTCTTTGGAAGTACCAGATAAAAGAACTGGCTTTATCATTTGCATCAATTTTGACCCATATGCAGGACGATAATAATACTTTTTATTTTATTATTGTATTATACTTTTACTATTTTAATGTATAGTTGCCCACAAATATGACTGGACATCTTCTGACCCTGAGTATGAAATTCAACTTTTTACATAGATCTGATGTACAAAAAATAAATGATGCGCAGCATATGTGGAGGCTACAAGGAAACAGTTTGTAGTGAAACACGTTTTAAAATGTTGATATTGCATAACATATGTCTCTCTAAGAGGTCAATAATATTTGATTAGATTTTTACACATTTGCCGTAATGTTATTTTCTGTCAAAGCACAGCTTTCTTGCTGAATGTCTTTTGAATGAAGGAAGTACTTTTTCAGTCACACATGCATGTATCCTCCCCACCCACCCCTACCCCCATGTTTGTCCTTGAGAATTACCATGGGAATCAATCGTCTTATATTGACCTTTTTTTCAGGGAATGGACAAGAAAGTCATCAAGAATGCGGGAAATATTCAGCCCTGACAGCAGCATTTGTTCATCCTCATCACAGGCCTCCCCTCGTAATCTGACACCAATATCCAAAGGCAGACCAGTATACAACACTATTCGGAGTAGCACCCCCCAGTCTTCGCGGGCGTCTGCAGGCAAAGTGTCTAAATCTTCCTCTCAGCTGTATGACGCTCGAAAGTACTCTGAGACATTTGGGTATAAAATTGTATTAGGGGATATAGACAATAAAGAACCTTATGATGGAGAAGCAGGAAGTGTCAGAAATAAATCAGAGTCAAGAGCTGATGTTGCAAGTTCAGAAGATTATTGTAAATTTTTAACAGGGAAAACAGACTCTTCCTCAGATATAGTCCGAAATGGGGATGGGCTCCCAACAGAGGAAGATTCTCTAGTGAAAAGCGATCCTGTAAGGTTGTCCGAAGTTGAAATGAAGTACAAGAAATACCAGAGTTCAGAGGCCAGCAGCACAGAACTGTCATTAGAAGACAGTAGGGCTCACGCCAATGGTCATCGGGACTCGTGGTTGGAGTCCCAGAACACTGCAAGGTCCAGCACATCTAAGAAGTCTGTACTATCTGTCAGGTCAGACAGGTCACATTCATCTCGCTGCTCACTGGCACACTCTGGAAATGAAGTGGAGCACTTGCACTTCCCATCTCGCCAGTCAGGTAATTATGATTCCACTAGATCAGAGGATGGATCAATAACTGAAAGGACTGTGTCATCTCAGACAATGACTCCCCGGAGGTCAAGGAGCAGTGCTAAGAATGTTGAGCCTATCCTGACTGTTATTTCATCTGAAGAAGTCCCTCGCCTAGGCATTACATCTTCTCTTAATGATACAAATGGTAGAAACAGTAGCTTCAGTTCTTCCAGAATTGAAGATTACATGACAGCAGAGGAAAAGGCTAAGGCTCATCCTGATCACAGGGCCAGTGAGGATAGAATTAACTCCATTGAAAACAGGGCAGTGGAGAAAGATATGGAGATTGGGGATCAGAGAGCAGAGGCCAGTGTTAGACCATATTTGGCAGATGAGGGCTACATTAACACAGAGGATGTTTCTCGTTCCGTACCCCCGGTGTCCCACACAGAGTGTGCTGATGGGGATAAGGCATCTGGTGAACAACAGAATAAGTCTGGGGGGGAGGGTAACCAAGGCGAAGGGGATGGTGAAACTAAGGAAGAAGACAAAGGTACCTCGGAGAAGACAGTGGAGGGAGATGGCAGTGCACAGAAACCAAGCTCTAGCAGGACCGTGAAGGCAAGGAGGGACAGTGTGCAGAGTGCACCGGCACAAGCGATGACACATGACAGAAGACATAGCTCAACCAGTAATAAGACTCCTGTTGTGATTCCGAAAAGAGCAAATGAGATGGAGGGAATGGAATCTGAACGAGGGGAGGACCAGTTGCGAGACACTCAGTTTGACCGAGGAGTGATCCCTGACACTAATTCAGTGCCGGCTAAGAAAAAAGTGGAAAGGGGAGATGATACTCCTCGTGTGAGTATGGAGGAAAGAACGAGACTAACAAAGTCAGCAAAACAGCGTGGTAGATCAGAATATCTCACAATGGATGATGATGAACGAGGTCTGGAGAAAGAATATTTTCAACCTTTGGCGACTGAGAAGGAAGAGTATTACACATCGGATGTGTCAGCAAAGGAAAGTGAGATTGGCTCCCCTCCAAGCACAAGACCGTCCTCTGCTTGCAGCCAGTCATCAAGTTCCACCGTGAAATCAGATGGCAAAAAACGCAAGAAAAAATCTTTGCGCAGATTTTCTAAAGCAAGTGCTGGGGTAGCAGAAGCTGTAGAACCTGAAATTAAAGAAGAGAGCCGGCCGGCATCAGCTGCTAGTAAAGATCCCGATGGGAGAGGAGATGACAGTAACAGTATCAAAGATGCAGGTGCTTCTAATGGCAAGAATAAGTCAAGTGAAAAAATGAAGAGTCCCTCTGGAGAGATGGATGAGGCAGGTGACAAGAACACTGATGTTCGTCCAAATTCACGGTCCAGTCAAGCATCTTATAGTAAAGCAAAAACAGAAAGTAACTACACGAGACCCCAGTCTGCCAGCTCCAGAGGAAGCTTTACAGCTAAAGAAAAGCTCGGAACTGGTCAAGGATATGCTATTGATGGAGAAGTATTGAACAGGGGAATAGATGACAACACTCCCAGGACTCTAAGGGAACTAGAGCGTGATAAAGAGGATCAACTGGCCATGGAAAATCGTCAGAACGTAGGAGAAGCTTTTCATAAAGTAGAAGGTTTAGATGAAGCAATGAGGCCAGACTCTAGGAGTAGCAAATGCTCTATGAAGTCCTCGGAATCGGCTAAGAAGGCTGAAAGTACCAAGCTGAAATCAAAGAGCCCTGACCAAGAGCCACAGTTACGCCCTTCTTCTGGCACAAGTCTGAGGTCAGTCAAATCTACTGGTTCCAAGAGTTCCCAAAAGTCAGACAAAAAGGAAAACTTGGTTGATAAGTCGCATAATTCTGCTGTTGGACAACCTGCAGGTCAAAATGTTATCATAGAAACAAGTCCTGAAGGCAGTCAGAATGTTGAGAAAAAGGAGACTGAGAAAGTATCTGCTGCGAGCGACTCTGGGGGAGGTTTTGTCGAGACAGGAGTCGAATCTGTAGAAAATGCCACTGGTAATGGTGAGTTTGATCAAGACACTGAAAAGAAAATTGATGCTGTCCTTCCAAAAACACAGAGTTATGAAAAGGAAACAGCAGAAGCCACTGCTCCAAGTGGAAATCAAAGTGAACTTAACCAAGATGTCCCTGTTGAAGAGAAGGCTTTTGTTGAGAATGAATCAAATGAGACGGAAATACTTAAAGGGGCTGTCTCTGGATCAAATTCACTTGAAAAAATTTTGTCAGGAGTCAATGAAGGGCCTATAGATTTCAGGCCTTTATCGGCATCGACGGCAAAATCCGTTGGCTTGGAGCGTGAAATTTTCATTGACTGTAAAAGATCAGCTGTTCCACAGCCATCCAAGATCAGTGAAGTAACAGAGATTGAAGACAATATAACCACAGCTAGGGAAACACATCGTTCGGCGATATCGCCTAAGAGTGTGAAAGACAAAATAATTATTCCTCATCCAGCAGAAGTTGTTAAAGTAGAGAAGAAGGAAGCTGTGGGTCCGGTGCTTAATCTAGCAGATGTGAAATTGGAATCCCAACAAGATTTGCCAGCTGATGCTTTGGTCCATCCGAGTATGAAGCGCAAAGAGTCAAAGGCTGACTCAGAGAAAAATAGTGAGAAAGGTCTTGTGGTGGCAGCTGGTGCTGAGCAAGAGGAGACTGAACATTCTTCACAAAAAGAAGACCGTGTTAAATTGCCTTCTGAAGATATAGAATTTGGAGGGCCTGAACATTCGTCAAATCAGTATACTAAGGAAGTGGAAAGACCACCATCTGTAGCAAGTAAAAAATCTGCTAGCAAGGAAATAGAAAGACCACCATCTGTAGCTAGTCAGAAATCTGCTAGCAAAGAAGTTGAAAGACCACCATCTGTAGCTAGTCAGAAATCGGCTAGCAAAGAAATTGAAAGACCCCCATCTGTATCAAGTCAGAAATCAGCTGGCAAAGAAGTTGAAAGACCACCATCTGTAGCAAGTCAGAAATCAGCTAGCAAAGAAGTTGAAAGACCACCATCTGTAGCAAGTCAGAAATCAGCTGGCAAAGAAGTTGAAAGACCACCATCTGTGGCAAGTCAGAAATCAGCTAGCAAAGAAGTTGAAAGACCACCATCTGTAGCAAGTCAGAAATCAGCTGGCAAAGAAAATGGAACCCCACAGGCTGTGGTGAGTCCAAAATCTGGTGGTGAAAATTCTTTTCCAACGCGAAATGAAAAGTTTGAAAATGGAGAAATGGAGCCAGGTCACCCATATCAGTCTTTTGAGGATAAAGAAGCTGGTATACCAGCATCGAGTAAGAATGTTCTTGAAGCAGCTGTGGTTGCTATCCCTGGAAATGATGTTAGAATTGCCACAAATGAAGTTAAGGGCTACGCAGAAGCTTCTCAGGACATACCAGTGGGGGAATATAAATTAGGAGGAGAACGTCATGGATCCAGCCAGTTGGAGAAGCCCATTGGAGTAGCTTCCACATTTGATACACAAACATTTTCATCTGTTGAAGTACCATGTGAACATTTTGGTGCAGAACAAATTGGAACAGCTCAGGAAAGGTCCCCATCTGCTGGAAGTCAAAAGTCCATTCCAAAAGAAGGAAAGATTGAAAGGCTAGCATCTGCAGGTAGTCACAGGACTGTGCCAAATGAAGAGCCGATTAGGTCCCCATCTACGGAAAGTCAGAAGCTGGCAAATATAGATACTGAAAGACCACCATTAGTGGCAAGTGACAAGTCTATTCCCAAAGAAGGAACAGTTGGAAGGCCCCCATCTGCCGGAAGTCAAAAGTCTCTTCCAAAAGAAGTAACAGTTGAAAGACCCCCATCTGCAGGAAGTCAAAAAGTAACAGTCGAAAGGCCCCCATCAGCAGGAAGTCAAAATTCCGCTGCAAAAGAAGTAAAAGTTGAAAGGCCCCCATCAGCTGGAAGTCAAAAGTCCATTCCAAAAGAAAGGCCCCCATCTGTTGGAAGTCAAAGATCAGCAGCAAAAGAAGTAACAGTCGAAAGGACCCCATCTGCAGGAAGTCTAAAGTCACTTCCAAAAGAAGTAATAGTGGAAAGACCCCCATCTGCAGGAAGTCAAAGATCTGCTGCAAAAGAAGTAACAGTCGAAAGGCCCCCATCTGCAGGAAGTCAAAGATCTGCTGCAAAAGAAGTAACAGTCGAAAGGCCCCCATCTGCTGGAAGTCAAAAGTCTCTTCCAAAAGAAGTAACAGTCGAAAGGCCCCCATCTGCAGGAAGTCAAAAGTCCATTCCCAAAGAAAGGCCACCATCTGCTGGAAGTCAAAAGTCTCTTTCAAAAGAAGTAACAGTTGAAAGGCCCCCATCTGCAGGAAGTCAAAGATCTGCTGCAAAAGAAGTAACAGTCGAAAGGCCCCCATCTGCAGGAAGTCAAAAGTCACTTCCAAAAGAAGTAACAGTTGAAAGACCACCATCTGCAGGAAGTCAAAGATCTGCTGCAAAAGAAGTAACAGTCGAAAGGCCCCCATCTGCAGGAAGTCAAAAGTCACTTCCAAAAGAAGTAACAGTCGAAAGACCCCCATCTGCTGGAAGTCAAAAGTCTCTTCCAAAAGAAATAACAGTCGAAATACCCCCTTCTGCAGGAAATCAAAAGTCCATTCCCAAAGAAAGGCCACCATCTGTTGGAAGTCAAAAGTCTCTTTCGAAAGAAGTAATGGTCGAAAGGCCCCCATCTGCAGGAAGTCAGAGATCTGCTGCAAAAGAACTAACAGTCGAAAGGCCCCCATCTGCAGGAAGTCAAAAGTCTCTTCCAAAAGAAGTAACGGTTGAAAGGCCCCCTTCTGCAGGAAGTCAAAAGTCTCTTCCAAAAGAAGTAACAGTCGAAAGGCCCCCATCTGCAGGAAGTCAAAAGTCTCTTTTAAAAGAAGTAACAGTCGAAAGACCCCCATCTGCAGGAAGTCAAAAAGTAACGGGCGAAAGGCCCCCATCTGCAGGAAGTCAAAAGTCACTTCCAAAAGAAGTAACAGTTGAAAGGCCCCCATCTGCTGGAAGTCAAAAGTCTATTCCCAATGAAAGGCCCCCATCTGCTGGAAGTCAAAAGTCTATTCCTAAAGAAAGACCCCCATCTGTTGGAAGTCAAAAGTCTATTCCCAATGAAAGACCCCCATCTGCTGGAAGTCAAAAGTCTATTCCTAATGAAAGGCCTCCATCTGCTGGAAGTCAAAAGTCTATTCCCAATGAGAGGCCCCCATCTTCTGGAAGTCAAAAAGTAACGGTCGAAAGGCCCCCATCTGCAGGAAGTCAAAAGTCTCTTCCAAAAGAAGTAACGGTTGAAAGGCCCCCTTCTGCAGGATGTCAAAAGTCTCTTCCAAAAGAAGTAACAGTCGAAAGGCCCCCATCTGCAGGAAGTCAAAAGTCTCTTTCAAAAGAAGTAACAGTTGAAAGGCCCCCATCTGCTGGAAGTCCAAAGTCTATTCCTAAAGAAAGACCCCCATCTGCTGGAAGTCAAAAGTCTATTCCTAATGAAAGGCCTCCGTCTGCTGGAAGTCAAAAGTCTATTCCCAATGAGAGGCCCCCATCTGCTGGAAGTCAAAAAGTAACGGTCGAAAGGCCCCCATCTGCAGGAAGTCAAAAGTCTCTTCCAAAAGAAGTAATAGTTGAAAGGCCCTCATCTGCTGGAAGTCAAAAGTCTATTCCCAAAGAAAGACCCCTCTCTGCTGGAAGTAAAAGATCTGCAGCAAAAGAATAGATTTTTAATCAAAGTCTGTAGACTCTCAAATGTCAGCATTGAGAGTGTTAATTTATTTGAAACTTGCTCCCAGTGCATGTTGCTCAATAATTTTAAAGTGACTAGTGTGGCCTTTGTTGTGAAATGTTTCGGTAAGTTGTTCTGCAAACTTACTTAATTTTAGGTAACATTATAGCAGATAATATTTTGTGTCACATTATTATCTAATGAGCACAATTTGTTCTATTCTGTAAAATGTGTTTAAAAGAATCATTTTTCTCGTTTTGTCTTGCTCTCCTAAAAGTGAGTAATGTGTCATGCCTTTTCTACTTCTTTTTTAGATAGCTTAGTTTGTCATATTATGTATTTAGGGTATAATTTTCATAAGAAATATATTGTCTGTGGCCTGAAAAAAATGGGCGTTGTCTGAATAGCCGAACAGCAAACTAGTACTCATTCAACGTAAAGGAAGTAGTTTTTTAACATCATAGAAAAACAATTTATGTTGGTTTTGCTTTGTGCTTTTCATATTCATGTATGTAATGGACTATCACCAAAAAATATAATTTTATATATGCATGCAAGCTCATAAAAGTATATCAAAATTTTGGTTTGTATTTTTATGACTCTAGTCTTTGTCTTGTTTGTGCTGGATAGAAGACAGTCAATGGGTTTTGTGTCTTTATTCGTACACATTTGTCGTCAGAACGCCTAGGAGTGTTTAAATAGTTTTCAAAAGTCCAATTATATTTATTTTCATGTATCTGTGTGTACATTTTTTGTCTTGTGAATGCAGAAGGGTGTGATCCTATTATCCTTACTATTGCTTGACTGTTTGCATACTTAACATTATGCATCTTATTCCACTGCAGCATTAAAAAAGGAAGTCTTCACAATTTTATGGATATTTCAGTCAGTCATAGTTTGAAGCTGCTCCTGCCTGGTGTCATCTGAATAATGCCACAGTTTCTTTATTTATGCACATTGTAATTAAAAAAACCCCCCCACTGTTGTGGGAAAGTAGAGTGAAAGATTGGATTAGTCAGTTATTCTTGTTTCCAGGCAGCCAGCTTCATACAAATTTCTAGTATGAGTAGTTTATTTCTAAGTTAATATATTGCTTTATCAGTTTGTGCCGAGGTGCAAGCAGAGAATAATCCTCTTTTAGTACGATTCTGGTTCTGCCTTTTAATTTTAATGTAGAGTTCTCTTTTTAAAAAAAAGAAATTCGGCAACCAGAATTTGGATGCAAACTATGAATTTGTTTTGCTTTTTATTGATGAAGAATGGCTTTCCTCTTTTGGTTACTCCTTACTGGTTCATGTGTTTATCATCACTGAGCATTTTACTTTATAATCAGTCTAAGAAAATAAATGTAAGACTTAGTCTTTTTGAATTGCTGAAGTAAATTTATGTAGAAGTAATTGGGTCAAAGGTACAGCGTTTATAGTAACAATATAAATCTCTTTGTTTGTATATTTGTTGATAAAAAACTGATATGCAAAACCAGCTTTTTAAAATGTCTGATGCCTGTTTCTGGTATACTCTTGCATACGTGCAAAGAGGAAGTCAGAGGCAAATATGTGTCACGACACGGTGGAATCAGGTGCTCGTCAATTTTTGGGCAATTGAAGTTCTTGGTATTATCTGAAAGCTGATTTATTTTATCCATCTATCTTGAATAGAACTCAATATATTTGCGATTGAAGGCAGTAAGGTAATCTGGTTTCAGTGGTGAAGTTAGCGAGAAAATTGCTGCCAAAGTTTGGTAACTCCAAAAGGTAAAAGAGTCCTTGAAAACTGAAAAATGACATATTTTGTGCCTTTAATCAATGTTTTTCTGTAAAATTCACATGGAATGTGTTTTTATATGGACATGAAAGAGGTTGAACCCAAAAAGAAAAATTCGAAAAAAATTTCCGAACTGCGAGGAAAGTGCCGGTTTCGCCAATTTCTGTATTTTGAAGAGCGCCTGATTTCACCCCGCTGCCTCATATATAAATTCTCAGATTAGTGAGAGGATAAATTAAATACTTAGTAGCCAGCTTTTATTTTCAATCATTGTTTTTCTCTTATAAGATTTTTAAAGAGAGATTAATTGAATTAATAATTCAGTTATTGCATTTTCAACTGATACTGATACGAAAATTTTTGCTTCATATTACATTTTCACTATTTAGACATCACTGTGGCTGTGACAATCATGTTTTGTGTGAATATTGTATTATTCAGCTGCCTATGGGTAGATTTTTGATGTGCTGCTAATCTGTTTGATTATTTTTTGCGTTCCTTTCTTATCATTTACCACTTCCTGGTGAAAAGAGCAACTTTTTGTGTACTTTGAAAATATTGTAGAACAACGAAACACTTATGGCTTTTGACAGCCTTGACTAACCGAATATGGTTTCTTTGTGTCAAGTGGTCAGTTCAATTTTATTTATGTGGAGAGAATGATCATGCATATATATATATATATGTATGAATAGCATGGCATTGTTGCTTACTAGTACTTTTCTAATTTCATGACAACACGTAAAAAAATATCTACAGTTTTAGCTTGTTATGTACACCAAGCAACTGGAAAGCGATAGTGATGGCTAAAGTATACAGTAATCTCATTTTTTTATATACTACCCAAGAGAGTTTGTATGAATTGCTCAGATCAAATAGTACTGTATCTGATAGTGGATTTTGCAGCCAATCAGAGGCTGATAAATTTGTTCATTAGATTGTTAAATATTGTGTGCCAAAGAATTGCATTTATTGAAGGCTAACAACGAAAGTCAACAATATTGATTTGTGATATACATGATGAAAGTTTAGTCCATAATTGATGTACCTCAGTACACATTGTGTGCATTTGTGTTAACAGTCTTCATTATACCTTTTTTTTGTGTGATATTCTTGCTTGTTTACAGAGTTTATGCCTGTGATCAAAATTTTGTGTGTGATCCTTCTCATGTGCCAATTATACAAGTCCAGATTTACGATGTATTCAATTATTATTGACTGATTATGAGGAGGTTTACACCATTAGTACAGCCCACATTTGCTTGCTGTAAAGTAAATCACAGCCATGTTTTCAAGTGGAAATAAAGTAGACCAATTCAGACAGTTACACAAACTTTGGCATTCTGTTTGTGCTTGTGCCTTTTTAAAACTTTTTCAGTTGATTATTTTCATGGGTTCCTTGTATGTTCTGTCCTCGTGTTCATTGCAAGAGTGGAGAAAACTACTCTGTAATTTTTTCAGCCCAGCTATTAGGTCAAAATAAAATTACAATTGTTAACTTATCATACAGGGCTGGGATCACGCTTTGATAATACAACAGACCATACAGTTTTTTTCTAATTAACTTTTGGACTAGAATGTCAAGTGAGCACACTGTGAACTTGTGAAAAGAATAAACTGTACAGGGTAAAAAAAATTCCAAGAAAAGAGTTTCAGTTTCAGAATTCAGGGTTGTAATTGTACACAGGATTTTATTCAGAACACAGTTTAACTATACAGTATACAGGCAAGAAAAGCAGATATTGTATGCAGTGAGGTGATCGGTTCGGGCGAGAAAAACACAACGACACAAATGCATGACGATGGTCCTGGAGCGTCCGTTTTTTTCTTTGGGACATAAAATTCAAAAGCCAGTGCCGACTTTCATGAACCGATTTTGAAAAAAAAAAATTGATTATACTATTTTTAGGCTTTGAGACGCTCTGATTAGTTCTGAGTCCTTGCTTTTGCTGTAACATTTTTTTATAAGAAAAATAAAAAGGTTGTGACAGCATCTTTCTTTGATGCTGTTCTTACATCGGAGTGTCTCACCCATTCCAGACAAATGTTGACGTATTTACAGAATTGAACACTGTTGTAATCAGCTTCTCTCATTATTTTCTATATATCCAAATCTTCATTTGTCTCTTAAATCTTGATTTTTCTCTCCATTCTATCCCCCAACCCTGTCCTCTTGCGCCCCCCCCCCCCTTTTCGCCGGGTTTTAAAAAAATCTGTGAAATTGCGTGAACTTCTTTTTTTTTTACAAGGTATCCCTTGTCTCTTGTTCTGCGCATGTGATCATTCTCACGGTCTACCATTCCCTTTGAATTTTTTTGTGTGACTACTGAGGATTGGGGATCATACAGGTCCGTCCCACTTTCGACATGTAGTTGAGTGACGGCTCCTCTAACACTACGCCGTTCCTGGCCTCTCGGATGTCCTTGATCTGACCCTCGAAGAAGCCCACAGTGTCGCTCTGAGGAGGGAATGAATTTGGCGTGAATGGAAGTTTTTCTCTTCTTTCGTTTAAAGTCAAATCCTCAGCACCTGCATTATCGTGTGAAGATTGGCTAGGAATGCAGGTGCTGGTAATAACAAAGCGTGACTTTCTTTTTTTCTGATTTGCTGTCAGAATGCCACAGCTGACAACATTTTTGTAATTTTAACTTTAAACTGTTTCCTCATTGACGTCTTCTCTTCCTTAGTTCCTTTCAGTACTTTCACTATTCCGTGTTCAATGTTCCCAGTTTATTCAGACCTATACCACGCTTACTTTCAACCTATTTTAACAGTGTCCTGTAAATCAAGATTTCCCCGCCGTCTTCACCCAGACCCCGCCTAAGGCACGTGCCACGCCTGCCATAGCGTAGATAACCATCTGGTACCGTACTGAGTTTCTCGCCTTGTACATGATTTTGAATTCCGGCCTCCTCACTCCTATGGAAACAGCAACCGAGCAAAACGGTCTCGCTCCACTGTACCCCCCCCCCCAGTTCCAAGGAATGCAAATAACACGGGTATTCGAAGTTAAGTGAAAGATTTCAAACATTAAAAAATAAAATAAAACTAAATAGTTTTCCTTCTAGACTGTGTCACTCGCGACTCTGATTCAAGTATAGTATGTACTCAACAGGTTATTGGTCAATTGTGTTTTTCAAATATTTTTCACCCCCCCCCCCGAAAAAACCTAAACAAAGAAAAAAACAAAACAACAAAAATACAACAAAAGATAAAACAAAAACAAAAATGGCGTCCTTTCGGAGATGGGCAGTAAATCGATCCCACATACCCCCCTCCCCCGAAACTCCCAACGTTTCTTTATTTATTAGGACGTTAACCATGTATAAAAATAAACAGCGTTAATGAACACATATTAAACCAAAATCCAACCTCAAATATCAATAACACAAGAGAAAATAGGGCTCTATTGTGGTTTTTGCACATGGCAACATAGATGTAGGCCTACAATTGGAGGATTTTTGAGCAGCATTGAACAATAAAAAGTTCTCACCAGTGGTTCCCTGAAGCCTCCTACATAGATGGTGGGCATAATTCGAATGTCTTCCCGATCCAGGTGATCCACGTGGCGAAGTTCTCGATCACCAATCTCAACCACAATACCAGTTTGGTTTTGAAAGCGCCTCTGGGTTTGGTCTAAGACTGCCCACACCCGGTAAACATTCACCTGAAAATCAAAAGCAAAAACAACCCCCAAAAACATGTTTATACAATTGAAAAGGGGGTAAAAGGTCAACCCCCCCCCCCCCCCCCCCCCCGTTTTCTTCCTAACCCATCCTCTTTTTCTCTCTCGAGTAAAGATAACAAACAGTTTATTTTTACACGCTCTCATGGGAAATCCCGCAACCACGGAGAATGCCATGGTAACACTGGTAATTATAGTGGCTTTCTCTGACTTATAATAAGTCAGCTCGCTTCCATGCCCCCCTCCCCCCTCCCACAAGATCTAAGATGAGATCTGGTTGCGCTATCCAAGATAACTTAACCACCCTGTGGGCGTTATGTCACCATAATCAGAACGCATGGAAGGCACTATCGTAGGAATTTTACGCATTTATAAATACTTTATGGTCATTTGAGAGATACGACTTTTGTATTTATCGTCCATTTCCGACAGGATCAATTCAAGTGGTCGTGGAACATTGAAAAGTCTCCTTTTTAAAAATGTAGATGATTTTTATGCCCCTGTCGACACAATTTAGATAAATTAGGAAGCGAGATTCCGACCCTGCCTGTCATGACCAACACGGATTGAGAAGGAGACAACAACCCTGAGAGAGATCGCGATAATCGATAAAAGATTATCTCCACGCTCGGGAAAAGAACTCAGTTCTCCTGCTTGCGACGGCGAAGCGTCAAACTCCTACACCACAGAGGCCGGTGAAAAGTCTACCCCCCCCCCCCCCCCACCAAGTTCAGAAACGACATGTTAGGAATAAAGCATTAGAATTAGAATTATCTCTACCGAAGTCCACTTTGATACCAAGTGAACTATAGCAGCTGGGCAGGGAGTAAAAAAAGAGAAGAGAAACTATAAAAAGTAAATGAGACAAAAAGAAAAAGCACATTTTCTCAAAAGAAATGGCCACATCAGCTACTCATCCCAGAAAGCCAGCGAGACTGACTGTTCTTGATTTGCTTCAGTGAACGCTCTTTTGGGTAATGTTCTGTGAAATATATACAGTGCCATTCAGGTTGTGATATCGAAGACCCTCTTTCAGATTTCATATAAATCTAGAGTGTTCTTGAGGTCAGGTTTTTAAATGGGTGGTCGTGGTTCTCCATTCACTTGACACCCTTCTGCCCAAGATAGACGTGAACTCGTAGAGTGAGTCCAGCCC